CTTTCTGAACGTTCATTTTTTCCAACATTTTTGTTTTGTTTCCTATGTGCTAGGAACTGTGCTAGCTACATGGGCTTAGAGTTTTGTGAGAAAGGCTGACTACCCACAAATTATCACACAAGTAATTAAATGTAGATGGGTGCTTCAAAGAAAAGGAAAAGGACAGGATATGCGTGATTGAGGGAAGAGGTGAGGCATAAAGTTAGTCTAGTAAGGGAAGACAGGAAGGGGGTTACTTTGGCTTGAGAGAACATAGAAGGCTTCCCTCAGTGAGAAAAATATCTTTTAACTTATCTATGCCTAGTGTTCCATTATTGGAACACTAAGCTTGTGGGAGCTATTTATATCCTGCTCAAGGTCATTGCCAAGGTCTGATTTTTCACACAAAAAGTTTGCAACCTCCAGCATAAATGGATTAAGCAAGAATGAGGGTGAAAGACTGGGTAGGAATTAACTCTGCAAAAAGGTAGATTTCTACAGGCCAAAGGAGAGCCCAGAGAAAGATACTTTCAAGAATTGAGGTCTGTGTGTAGAGTAAAAGGAAGGTTGCAAGAGGTGAGACTGCACAGGCAGGGAGGGGTGAACGCAAGCTGGGCTGCGGAAGGTCATGGTGAAGATTTCTGGACTTTAGTCTAACAGCAGGCAGGCTTTTATAACACGTTCCAAGAACTTCAAGTCAGGACCATGGCTGATCCTGGGATGGGTAACGATAAGAAAAGCAATGACAAAACCAGAAAAAATTCTAGTTCTATGTCAACTGAAAAAATTTCCTGTATCCCTATCACTCTACTTTGTGTGTATCATCTCACCCAAAATCAAATTAAGAAAATAAAGCATATGAATTTACAATTACAGCCATTTTCAATTGGTTCACTTGGCTTTGACAAGAGGTCGTATGTGTATATGTAGGTATGTACACTTATAGACACTTAAGGGAGTATGGGTCAGTTTCCTATTTCTTAAAAGTGAAACATTCCAAGTAATAGCAATCCAATGAAAAGCTCCATTCATTGTTTGGCTATGCATTAGTGCTATACTATACCTGAAATTAAATTTTCATTCTCATGCCCTTTTCCATAAGGTCCTTCATAGGGAAAATACTTCAAGAGAATACCAACACCGTTCTTCCAAGGATTATTTTAACCTCATTGCTTTTTAGCCTCACCTTGTCTATGCTAAGTAATTAATTCTAAAATGCAATTACAAATTTATTTTTTCTAAAATTACATTGACATCAAGAGTAAAATTTAAGGAAGATAAATGACAACATTATTAAAGAATGACAGCTAGGATTTTTTGAGCAATTTCTGTGTACTAGGTATTGTTTTGGGAATCTTTAAATATATTATCTCATTTAATTCTAACAATGACTCTGGGGTTCATGCTATTCTCTATTTCATGGATAAGGAAACTGAAGCTTAGAGAAATAAGCTTAAGCATTTCCCCAAATCATATACACCTTGGACCCCGTGTTGTCCAATATGGCAGCCTGAGCTGCCATATGGACATATGTGGCTACAGAGTACTTGAAATGTGACTTGTTTGAATTGAGATGTACTATGTCAAATACATAGCAAACTTCAAAGACACAGTATAAAAAAGTAGGATATCTCATTAGCAGCTTTTGAATACTGACATGTCAAAATGATTCTATTTTAAATACAGTGGGTTAAATAACATACATTATTAAAATTCCACATTTATTTTTTTTGTTAAATCAGCTACTAGGAATATTAAAATTGCCTATGTGGCGCACATTATATCTCTATTAAAAAGTGCTGACCCAGACCTAAAGCTGATACTGAATTTGCCAGTAGATATCAAGTTGAAAGACTGGTAAAGAAGAGACTACCAGCATTCATACAGATCTTGGTTTAAATGTCCTCTCTATCAATGATGGGAAGCCAGATGCTGGAGTAAGAATGAGGAGTAGTAGTACCTAACTACTATTGTATTACAAAGACACACAAGTGAGGGTCCAAGAGGTTCTTACATATACAATGTTCGAATTCTCGTGAAATTGAATGTATGACTCTACTTCAGCTGATCAATGATGTTTTTATGTCAAGAATGGAAACTAGTGAGCAAAATGGTATCTGGGCATGCAAGATTTTACCTTATTTTTTTCCTCTGGGTCACAGTGAAAATAAATAAATTGTTCCAATATACCGAGTTTAGACTAACCTATAACTGAGAAAAGTAATCTGCACTAAATTATAAGAAACTATAAAATTATGTGGGCCATATTATCCAACAATGTTTTGCCATATTTGTTCCCTAGTCTTGTGTCAAGAAGTTAGCCATGGGTATGTGGCTTTATCACTGTATATACACATCTTCATATCTTTATGCCTATATCTAAATGTGAAGGGTGAGGCAGATGGAGCATTTACTTAGGTTATCTTTTGATGTGTCTATTTGGCCTAACACTGACATGTGGCAATGTATCAGACTATCCTGCAGTTTGTCTGGTTTGTTTCTTTTTAATTGAACGGTGCTGGGGGAAGGGGTAATAAGTAAGGATTTAAGTCACTTAAATGTAGCCCCTTAAATGCCATCCTCATTTTAAGTTTAACACCGGAATTGTTCATCTCTTAACTATAAACATTTAACTATAGGAAAATGAGACTAGAGAAGTAAAAAGCTATCAAATTAAGAAATCTTAGCAGCAGAGACCACGAAAATACCTGTTTTATTCTAGATTGGAATTTAACACAAGGATGAATAATATACATGGTTTTAGTTCAGTTATTAAAGTGCATACTCAATTAGTTAAGGGGGGTGGAGCAATGGAGAGAGGGTCTTCTCTTTGATCTCCTGTGTTGCATTATAAACCCACTACTTGTAATGAATTTTTGAGCATCCCCTGGGTACACATAATTTGATCCTTGCTCTTTCTAAATGAGTGGACTCAAACTGACTTACAATGTCATTGCATCCACAGTGCACTTACAACCATCTTTCAGAAAAGGTCTTCAGATTTAGGGTCCAGGTAGAATAAGGCAGGAAAAAAGGACACCGAAATTATCGGCAGGCATTAACTAACAAGAACTAGATAAAACAGTAATGTGTAATTAAATAGTAATAAGAAAAATTTGCCAAAACTTTTAACTAAGATATTATCACATTTATAATGCACGAAAGTACACAGAAAAATATACTAAGTGAATTTAAGAAAACACATTTTAAATCATTTAAGCTATTAGCTATATTTCCAAAATGTATACTTTAGAAAAGAATTGATATATATATATAAAAGCTTATTAACATTAAGTTTAAATTAGCTAATACTTAAGTCACACTTTTGAAGCAGATTCTGTTTCCAGGAAGTGTGTTTTTTTTTTTGGGGGGGGGGGGGGAAGGGATTAAGAGAACTATATTAAAACAAACAAGAAAACACAAAACAGTTAAGCTGCATTCTTTTCCTGTGAATGGCATATTTGTACTCCTTTGTGTTAATATTCTCGAAACCCACTTAGCTTATGATGTCTTCAAATAATTTGATAATCTGTCTTTAAAGTTTTGCACTAAATTAGAGACTTCATTTTGGTAAAACGCCTTGGAACCATAAACCTTTAACGAGATGAGAAAGGTCTCTTTCCTCTGTACTTGACATTACTGTATAGGTGTGTGAGCAATTTTTGCTGTCAAACATTGCAAAGGCAGATTTTTTGTTGTTGTTGTTCAATCTGCAAATATCTCGCCTATACCTGCACAGCTCCTCTCTTCCCAACACAAACCTATCCACCCTTCCCCCCTGCAAGTTTTAAACTTTGTTTCCTTGGGGGCTCTGTACGAGCGCTGCTAACAATGTCCAAGAGACAAAGAGCTGTTCTGTGGGCTAACAGGATGCCAAATTTTAGTTGTGAAACAAAGCACTCAAATTTGAGATTGAGGAGGAGGAGCAGAATGACAATAGTAAAGCCTCCAGCTCGGAGCCACCCGCCAGACAGCCCCCTCCCCAGGGCCCGGCGCGGGGAGTTCTGGCCCCGGGACGGTGACTCCCGGGTGCAGCCGCCAAACCCCCTTGCGCCCTCGCTTACCGCTTCACGCGGATGATCTGGTCCCGCATGGGCTTGATGTCCTGGAAGCTCTGCTGGTTGACGAGGCTGTAGACGAGGATGAAGCCCTGGCCGTTCTTGATGTACAGGTCCCGCATGGACGCAAACTGCTCGGTGCCCGCCGTGTCCAGGATCTCCAGCACCGACGGCGACGAGTCCACCTCGATCTCCTTGCGGTAGAAGTCCTCGATGGTGGGGTCGTATTTCTCGATGAAGGTGCCGGTCACGAACTGCACGGTCAGGGCGGATTTGCCTACCCCGCCCGAGCCCAGCACCACCACTTTGTACTCGCGCATCGTCCCTCTGCGGCCGCCGCCGCCGCCGCCGCCCGCGACATAGACCTACGCCGGCCGCGCTGCGCCCCCAGCCCCGGCCCCGGCGGCCAGCCCCGCCGCCTCCCGCGGCCGCCCCCACCTCACGGCCGCGGCGGCCCCCCGGGCCCCGGCGGCGGCGGCGGCAGCTGAGGGAGCAGCGGCCCTGGGCATGGGCCGAGCCGGGCTACGATGCAGCCCCGTGGGTGCCGGCTGGGACTGAGGGCGAGCAGGGAGCGGGAGCGGGAGCCGCCGGAGCCGCCCGAGCCGCGGGCCCGCAGTGCCGCCCGCCCCGCCCCTCGTGCCTCCACGCCCAGATCCCCGCCCGCCGCCCGCCGCCGCCGCCGCCGCTACCCCCAGCACTGGAACGCGCGCCCGAGCCCGAGCCCGAGCCGCAGCGCGGCCAGGGGCGGGGCCCGGCGGCTCGGGGCGGGGCCCGCGGCGCAGCCCCCGCCCCCCACCTCCGTCGCCTAGGCGACCGGCCGCGAGGGCTCCCGGGAGGCTCTGCGCGGCGCGGAAGCTTCTGCCCGCGCGGATATAAAGAACCACGGCGGCCTTCCAGCAGCGCTGCGTCTCGCGCGCCCAGTCGAGCCTCCGGGCATGCGCAGTTCCCGCCCGAGCCGGGAGCAGCGTCAACCTGAGACTGCCACGCTCAGAATTCAACACAGGAAAGAGCCACCGCCAAGCTCTACCCTGAGGCGGGGAGTGAGGGGGAGAGTTGCCCAAGGTCCAAGAGGGGCTGCGAGAGCCTTTGCCCGACGCCTCCCAGCCTCTTAGCACTCCTAGAGCTTTGGTTTTATCGGGTATTAGCATGTGAAGCCTTAAGGGACGGGCACCTCTAGGCTTCTGCCTGAGGCTGTGTAAACGCAACAAAATGAAGCTTGGTCCTGGAACGTTAGGACACTGATGGGAGGGTGACCGCCCCCATCCAATAGCGCGCCCGAAGGGCAAGTCAGAGGCGGCCGAACGCCACGTAAGCCCGGTCCACGGTCACTGACGTCGCCGGGGTCCCGCCCACATCTCTTCTAGCCCCGCCCCTTTCAGTGCCGGACTGAAGTCGAGCTCTTCCCACGCCCTGTCAGCCACAGGTGAATTAAAAACCCGGAGAGCGGAACCCCGAACGGCAACCAGAAGGCCCAGGGACACCTCATAGCAACAGCCAACTGGGGGCATCTAGTGGGAAGCTGGGATTCCTTCTAGCCAACCACATCACGTTTCTGCCCCCTATGGTACCACTCACGACCAATAAGAGAGCCGACTATTACCACGTGACTCCCCTCCTTCAACCAATCGGAAAAAACGCTAGTCGCCGGACCCGCAAGCCCACCTCCCAGTGCCTAGCCAGGCGGGGCGTTTGGCGCACTCTCTGCCAACCAATCGTAGGCGAGCTGGTGAATGACGGAACTTCAGCCTAGCCAACCACAGCTCGCGAGCCCCTTGCCACAGAGGCCGGCGGGATGGAGACCGGGCTTGCTGCTGGGGTTTGGGAGGGGCAGAGATTGAGGAGCCAGTTGCTGTGCCCTGTTCTGGCAAAAGAACAAGATGCGTTGCAAGCCAGAGTGATGAATTCCACTTTTAACGTCGTCTCCGTGGCATTCTGCCTAAATGATGGGCATGGAAATGGTGCTGAGGGATGTGGGCTGAATCGAGAACACAGGGACTTTTGTCTTCTGGGTGAGAAATGTTCCCGGTCCTTAAGGAGACGTCGTGCAGCAGTTGCATGAGTCTTCCAGGCGTGCCTTTCAAAACACTTTTTTCTTTAATTATTAAGTTTTAAAAGTTAGCGTTCTGTCGCTAGCATTGCATCTTAGTTACACACCCCCTCCCACTCATAACGTCAAATTTAGGAGACATTATATCCCCAAGCATTCCTGCATTTTTTTTTTTTTGTAGTAACTGGTTATTCGGTTTACTTTCTTTAAACGATGTCCTTCTCAAACTAGTCTCACCTGTTTGTTACTGTCGCACTTTTCCTGCGAATAATACATTTCTGTAGTTCTATTATTAGAGCCTGGCATACCTCTCCCCTGTTCCTCTTTCCCACAAGGTCATCATGCCAAGGGGATTTTGGTCTGAATTAAAAGCCAGGTAATCTTTCACTATCTTTTCTGTCGATAGTCAAACTAGTACAAAGACTACTCAAATTTAGCAGTCTCCTATTTCCCTGTAGATTCGTTATATTAGAATGGATAACTTACATTTGCATTACCTTGCTGTAATAAACACGCACCAAGTTTTCATTTTCAATTATTGAGGGCAAATGTCCTCAGTTTAAACATGTGTATGTAGTAAAATAAAACAGCATTTCTTGATTACATGTCATTAAAATAGGAATGGTACTATCTGAGCCACCAGAATGAGCAGTGAAGGTATTGTGTTAATAAAAAGAACTAAGAATCAAGACTGTTTTAAGGGAATTGAAATCGAAGAGGATCTACTATTTCATCCTAGGCTAGTAATTTGAAATAGTGAATTAAAATTGAGAGAGCTCACATGGATGCTTCATATCTGAGCTACTTTGGCAGGGATGTTTCAAGAAGATGTAGGTAAGTATGGTGTTCACCTAGCTTTCCAGAAGTCTCATATTTTGTGTAAAAATGGTATGCTTATTCATAGTTACTTTAGGTTAGTAGCAGCTATACTTCTCTTCCAAGGAAAGACACTGTCTCTGAAGATTCTAATTGTGCATCTTGGTGATAAGAAGTTCCTAGGTTTGTCAGGGGTTAAGCAGAGTGAGGAAGCATGAAGCTTTCTCTCTAGATCATGACAGCCCATCTAGTACCTTGCATTACAGAGGAGCTCCAAGTCCATTTACTTTGCAAGGAATAAAGGTCCAGTGATTTATGCTTTTGAGAAATTTGCATTGGGATTGTGGGTCCAAAAGGTCACCTTAAGCAACTGTTTTCATGACTCCCAGGTTTCCAGATGTTGAGAAGCTTTGAATTGAAGCTGTCACAAAAATAGTGGGAGGGCTCCCTGGTCTCTCTACTTAGCGTAATAGAGAGTAGGACAGCTTTGTGACATTTCTCAGGATATTTCCCCTGACCGCTCATCAATGCTGACATTTTTGTTAAGAAGGAGTATAGAGACTGCAGCCCATGGGATGGTTACAGCTCATTTATTTACAGGCCTTATATTGACAGGCCTCAGATTTCATGCTCAGTACCATAAAGGTTGATTTTTAACCACCATGAGGCAAAAGCAACATGACAGATCGGAGCATATTTTCTCACCTATTCTGGCTTAAATGATGGTACTTACCTGATTTGTGGCCGTATGTGAAATGTTGAGTGAAAGATTAGCTGCTGTAAAAAGGATGTAAGGACGTGTAGAGAATTTAGAGGACTTGGGTGGGAGATGAATGTCTATTTTCTAACCCCTTAGTCATGTTCATTCCTATGCCAGCATAAACTCTATTCTGAGATGCTTATAGAAATAACTTACATCTTCATTCATTTGTTTGTTGGAAATAAAAGATAAAAATGGTATAAAAGAAATTTGAATTATTCCCAAGAGCTGTAAATCTGCAAGATAGTGAAAACTTAATGCTAACCATCACTGTGGGATCCCTTTAGTTTCCAAAGTGCATTGCCAGAATAAAAAGAAAGAAAATCTTCATTTCTCCTCTCTCCACTGAATCTGAAAGGGAGTTATCTCACCTATAGCCAGATACCTTCAATTATCACACTTGTGTTACCATGGAAACCCAAGCCTGTCCTTTCTTTCTCTGCAAGATGTTGGAAAAGGTGGTATGAAGTGAGAAATACACTGTGTTCTGGGACTTCCTGACACCAGCAAGAAGCAAATATGCAGATAATTAAATAGAAACAAATTAGTAGAGGATGTTTGTAATGCGACGGGTACTTTTTGACTAAAATCCTGATTCCTGTTGCTTCCTGTTAAAGTCTGTCTGTCTCTGGTTAACAACCATAAAGGGGAAGGGCACATCAAGTACATTTAGCACCTGTGAAATGCTGCTGGCAATTGTAAGGAGAGCAGACAATGGTTTCTTGACTTCTGAGGCTCCTAATACAGTTGAGAATCTGAAGTATATATGTGGAATGGAAAAAAAAGGGGCAAAATAAACTTTGTTTTTCCTTTGAAAATGTGCTATGTCTCAGTGCTTTTGAAAAGAAAAAGAATTAAAATGCAGAAATTGAGTATGGAAACAACTCAATAAAAGACACCTATGAGTAGAGAGAGTAGATGTTTCAAAAGGCCATTTTAATCAGAAAAAAAGATATGAAAGAAAAGACGTAATGATTAAAATGTAGGCACAGAAAAGAAAAAGCCTGAAGAATTTTAAAAGCTGGAGGATTCTGCAGAAAACAGAGCTTCAGTGTGGTTCATTTAACAAAGCAGAAGAGCAGGCACAATGTTGCTTGCGTACCCAGCAGTTTCCCTTTATTTTTGCCAAAGAAACTGGGATGAATCAGGATTGGACATTAATAGCGTTGCTTTCCCTCTGCCCACGGTTAGTTCAGAAGTAGGCACGTGACTCAGTTCTTGTCATCGGAAGGGGGAGAAGGCTGCTGGGGCTGGAGAGATTTCTAGGATATTGACAAGTAAGGAAATATCCCCATTTTTTGATGTCACTCTCCTTGCCTCCTGCTTTACACATTGAATTATGAGAATGTGGCCACCATTTTGGGGCTATGAAGCATTATGGCATTATGATGCAATACCGTAGAAAGCCAGCAACTTCAGATGGCTAAGGATGAGGATGGGAAGAACCTAGGTCCTGCATGACCACATTGGACCAACATTAGAACTGCCCACCTTTGGATTATGGCTAAGTAAACACCTGAGGTCTTTCGATTTAAGTCTGTGTTGGTAAGGTTTTCTGTATCTTACAGCAAAATACATCCCACCTGCTATAAAAAGTGTGAAGGATTCCAGCCAAAATGGTGTTTAAAAAAGAAAATTAGCGAGCATTTGTGAGAACTTTCATTTCACTAATATTTGAATGATATTTCAAAGATACTGTAATATTAATTGAGCAATTACTATGTATTTTTGTTTTTAGGCTTGGGGGATACAACAATAAATGATTAGCCAAAAGAGCTTGTATTCTAGCAGGAGAGACAGATATTAAGCAACCAATTGCATGTTTATTTTACAAAATTATGGTTATAATTAAAACTAGTAAGAAGGAAAAAATCAGGATTTAGGGTATGTAGTAATTATATAAATAATAAAATATTACAAAATATATAACTAAATAACTGAATGAAATTACAAAAACAAACACTTTCCAAGTAAATGCGAATGAAATCTGTAGTTTATACAGACATTCCCTGAGGTCAAGAGAAACTGTAAATTGGAGTGGTTTAGTCCAGGATAGTTGTCTGAAGGAAGTTAATATTGTACCAGGTTTTGAAGGAAGTGGCCAAAGGACAGGCTAGATGGGGCAGAAGAGAGCACTCTAGGTATAAGGAACCAGAAGAGCAAAGGAAGAAAGCAGGAATGAAGTACGAGTGAACTAAAAGAAATACCAGAATTACTTGATTTTTAAATTCCCTGTAGCAACAGCATTCTAGGGGCATCTTTCAGAGAAAAAGACAGAAAGATACCAAAAGTCTCAAAGCAAGATTATTTAAAGGTATAAAAATAATACAGGAGAAAAATACAGAAGAAAAAGTAGGAGTACAAGAGTGCATTTGAAATGAAGACGTCATTCAAAATAATGAATAATTTATAATGTGGGTGCCAAAAGAGTTGTCATAAAAAGTAATTATGGATTTAAAAACATCAAGAAGGAGGGACTCAAACTTTCACAAATAGAAATGGAAAGAAACATGAGGAGTGGCAAAAAAATGAAGACAGGTAGGAAAACAATTTTTGCTTGTGGTTATTTTTCCATGGTAGCTGTTATTGACATGCATTATGTAGAAATGAATGGAATTTAACTGAAAAGAAAAATTTCAATAGAACAGTAATACATAAAGATAGTCTTTTTGGCAAATAGTGTAATTTAAAATGTTTTCACTAGAATGCCTTTTTGTACCTTGCTGTAGGAAAATCTTTTCAACAAAAAAGCTGTCAGTAATAATAAGTTACAGATTAGTGAAACATTTTGGAAATAAAAAATCCCATAGATGTGCCAAATGTAATAGTAGAGAAACAATAATAAATACTTGTAATAAAAATCAGAACTTGTTAGGCATTATCTGATTTCTGGCCAAATATGGTTGTAGTACTAATTTTTCTAATGCTATTTTCTGTACAAATATAGTAATTTTAAAAATTAAGCTATGGGTATATGGACACGTCTTAATATTACTGGAGATAGAATTTACCACTCACTTTTTGTGACCCCCCCAAGTGTAACCCTGAACAGACTTCTGTCTTAACACTCATAGCACATTATTGCATTGTCTTCTCCAGCGACTGGGGAAAGGGACAGCACTTTGTTTATTTTTGTTTTACCGGCACTCAGCACATTGCCCAAAAAAAAAAAAAAAAAAAAAAAATTGTGGTAATTCATAAGATGTTTGTAAATAAATGAACAGTTGAGTGGACTATAGTGTTGCTTCTAAAAATCCTGGGTTTTGAACACAGAGAAGATGAGAATAAAAGGAAAGGAATAAGGATATTCCCCAAATCAACGTAAGGTTGATATAAGTGTCCTCCAAAGTTGGCCTAATCTCCAAAGAAGCTTGTATCTTTGGAGTAAGTCTGCGACAGGCAAGGTCAATGACAGTTTGTAAACCTGGAATTTAGGAGTGCCAGGAAAGATCTGAAAAATCATGTCTTCTATCAACTGACTGTTGCCCAAAATTCTGCCCTTAGGGTTTTAGTCTTTGACGTAAAAGTTATTTTTTTCCCAATTAAAGTGTAAGTGAGAGATATACAGTTAAATTGCACCATCATTCTGTCAACTTTGGGGCATGCAACTATGCTTACCTGGCTGAAAAAGAAAATGTAGAAAGTAAAATAGAAGAAAGTAGTTTAAACTGGGGGATAAGTCATGGTGTGAGTACTTACAGCAAATATAAGTAGATCATGGAAATCCACTGTAGGTTTGTCATACACTTGCTAATTTTTTTCAATAAGGTTAATCCCTCCACATGGTATAACATGAAAAATGACAGCCTTTACAATTACTAGATCCTTCAACTTATTTCAAATACTTTTTTATTTTTATGAGATTATAAGAATTTTTTAAACTTTGAAGCTCTATCCGTCTGATTCCCTTCTTTTTTCTACTGCTTCTTACATTATTGTGTTTAACAATGGTATGGAGGCATCTTGGGGAAGACAGAGCAGAGTTATGGTGTAAGGACCAACCAACTCTTCTCAGAAGCCATCCGGTTACCTTGTCAAGGTAAGTTATTCATCCTGCTCTCTAGAATTATCTCCTAAAAAAAAAAAAAAATCAGTTTCCTGCTCTTTACAGAACAGTACATAATCTTTTACTATTATCCTAATTAATGCTTCTCACACAGTCTTAGAAAATATTAGTCACTTAATGAATTATTAACCACATTCATTGGCCTGTACTAGCTGAAAAAGATGTCTTGTTTACTTAGTCAAGGCGCTATCTCTGTACAATGGCATTGACGGTGAAATTGATCAGAGCCTACATTTGAAAGAAGCTGAGAGACACATCAGAAATAGTAAGCCTTTTTATTTTCCTTGGTGTACCAGGTAGTCAGGCAAAGTTAATGTATTTCCTTATACATTATCTTGATTACATTCTGTTGGGACCTAGTCTCTGGTATTTATTAGGGTTTTGATAAAGATTTTGGCCATTTTCCATTCAAATTAGTGTTTCCAATGAAATGATTCTACAATGCATGTAAATTATATAAGAAATATTCATCTGTCAATGTAATTATATAAGCAACAATCAGTTTCAAAACTGAAATGGATTAAGTTAGTTCTGTAATACACACTGAAAAAGTGACAGGAACTAAAATAGACAAACTGTGGTGCTGTAAGGTTATGATTCTTAAGGTTTTTATATTAAAGTTGCAAAGTTTCAAGTGCTCAATGCTGCTCTTTATGTTAGGGCTGTAGACTGTCTTAAGCCTGAGAGTTCTATCTGAATATGTGATTGACAGGGTAGAGGCTGTGCCTTGTATAATACTTTTCAAATGTTGGCTCTCACAAACATAGAAAGAGCAAACATTAACTAGCTCTCTGTTTAGATATCTACCACCTACCTGTCAACTTAAAATCATGAAATCTATAAATTTGGAGAGGAGAGCTTTATTTCTTACTGAGAGTGGCAGCCAGCAGGGTGGCCATCCTAACTGAATAGGAAGTGTAACCTCGGGCACAGACCAAAAGCAAGTTCTTCAAGGGAGTATAACGTAGGAATTTATGTTGAATGGATTGGCCAAGTGTATATATTTAACAGGTTGTAGGAGGAGCTGTAAATATCCATGAAGGGGTGTATGTGCATGAATAGTAAGCAGACATGCATATTACATGCATCCCATGTTCACTTTGTGGGGGAGACTTCCCATTTAAATGCCTTCCAGTTGGGCCCCTTATATCAAAAGGGGAAGCAAGGACATGAAGGCACTCAGTGCTAAGCCTCTGTAAACCAGACCGAACCAGAAGATGGTCAGTGGTCTCTTATCTGGAGGAAGTTACTGAAACCAGTCTTTTGTCCAATCAAAGCTGTAGTTGTGGCTTGTGGAGCAGAGGGGTCAGTTAGTCAGGATCTGGTGGCCAGTGAGCTACGATTGTTTCAATACTGCTTATCTTGAGGCCAGTGCTTGTTTACCTGCTAGAGAATAAGAAAAACCTGTGGCAATTAGATCATAGTTTATTCTATAAGGGTAGGAGTACATGACTTAAGCCTTTTCTGGCATAGCCTTAGGTCTTGTTTATTACTTGGTACTTTATTGCCATAAGAAGTCTCTTCCATTAGTCTTATGATCTCTGTTTTAATATATCCATGTTGTTTTTTTCCTCCACTTGATTCCAGAAAGGACTAAAGTACATTTCATAAGTACATATAAGATAAACTTAAATAAAAATAAGGAAACCTTAAATAAAACTGATCTATATTAAAACATTTCCAATTTTGAGGGTCAAATAGATTTTCCAAGAATCCTTAACATTACCTATTCAAAATAAGATGTTTTCAGAAACTGTGTTGCAAATTGATGTACATCTCCTTAAAAAACAGATTTCACGATGGCATTCACACTTTGTGTTGCTCTGTGTGTGTTAGGGTTGGGGTGAGGGGAGCATGGTTAATGCCCAAATCCTTCCCAAGTCTCATCAATGAATAGTCTGAGGGAAGGAGGGTTGGGAATGTGTATATTGAATAAAATCCTCTAAATGATTCTGACTTGCCCCTGGGCTGAAAAGCAGTTTAGCAATATTAACTCTGTATTTTCTGAAGTAAAGGTCATACGTAAAGTAACTTGTGATTTTGGAAATTTTTACCCAGGATACTGACTGATGAGATGGCCTACCCCAAATCCAGAATTTAGCTTAAATTCTACCTCCTCTTGTTTTCCTTAATCTTTCACCATATTTTCCAAATGCTTTATACCTTTCTTCTCATATGTACTGCAATTTGTCTTGCATTATATTTATCTTTGTCATTTCAGCTAGTGTATGGACTCACGGATGTCTGGTGGGGAGGAGGGTGGACAAGCTATAAGTTTTTTCATCTTTCTAATCTTTATTATGCTTTAGTCAATAGTATATATTCAATAGATGTTGACTGAATTGGATTAAACATAAAACATTAAATGTTATTAAAAGTATGATTAATTTTCAAATTATCAAATTATTATATTCTCCTCCCTATTAAAGGAAAATCAGTGGTGTTTTTCAACTTTGGACTGAAACTCTAAACTATATAAAATCATAATAATGTGAAATATTAAACAGTATTACTCTTCAAAAAAACAGTAACAGGTTGTAGGAGGAGGCATAATTCACAAGAACTGCAACTTGCTCTCATCTTTTAAGCAATCATTTTTAATGTTCTAACCAAATCCTTATACTAAAACAAACAACTGGTGAATGTGATAAAGTAATGGAGAATATAGAAAAACTCCCATTTTCTCTAGCTCATTGTATGTGAAATCATTCTTAAGAATCACTTCCACTTCTGTTTGAATAAAAAATAGCCAATAAGGCAATTCTAATTGGTTAAATAACAACAACAATAAAACAAATCACCAAGGCAAATGACTTTTAAAAGAGTCACCAAGGTTAAAAAATATTATAAAAATATCCAAAAACTTACACATGTCCTTGATATAGTTTTGTTTTCTGTCCTCTTAAAATTTCATTAGCTTTTCTTGTTGCTTAGAAATCAAGGACATATGAGTGGCAGATCTTGACCTAAGGAAAATATTTATGATGTTTTCAGTCCCCTTATTAAAGACCCTATTTTTCATTGCAGCTGAGGGTTGGTGTAGGCAGGATAGGAAAGCTTACAGATGGTGGGAGGCACAGAACCTTCATAGGGGCTCAGGCAAGAATATCCAGATGACAGCAGACAGGAGAGAGAATAAAAGATGCCAGCCTCCTCATTGTGAGTTCACGGTGGCTGCCTTGGTCGGGGGCTTTTGGCATGGTTCTCCTGAATTACACAATCTAATCTACTTCTGTACAGAAGATTTTAGAGGCACAGTTGAGTATGCTAAAATGGCATTACTACCTACTCAGAACATGATGCTTCTGTGTGCCCATATGCCCAACTTATTTTCAAATGTATTTGAAAAAAATAGAAAATAAGCATTTTCTATTACTAGAGACATACAATAAAAATGCACATGACTCTATCCATGTGTGGGTTTCTTGGGAGTTTTGTCAGATTCCAGAGGACCCATGTTTGTAGCACATGAGTTCTCTGGTCATAGACCATTGATGTGGTCATCGGTGACATGGTGCCTAGCTCATGAGCCAATAAGATTTGTTTCCTCCTAGGAATTTAGAACCATAGTCCAGACGGCAGGCCTGGGCATTTGAACTAGGAAGTAAGGAAAGCCACACTGGGAAAGCCTTTATGGGCTCTGTGTACAACTCAGCAGAAATGCCAATCTACAGAGAAACGTAAGAGAATAAAGTCGATTCTTTGAAAGAGAGGAAATGATGGCTCACTTAGTTCCTGAGAGCTTTCCTACTCATAAGGAGATCCAGTTGCATTTTCTACCATTGGCATTGAGATCCCCACCTCCACCCCAACATTACATTTTCCTTTACGTTAATATCAGTGGGTTTATATTACTTACAACCAGAAGGTTCCTGACAAAGACAAAATTATCCTGTTAGAACATGTTCTCTTATATCTTTGTCAGGAGCACATTGGAAATGAACAGCATTCTACTGTCAGTTTGTCAGCGTTAATTACATATTATGACCCAATAATTTTTCAGAATGTAATTGCATATAGCTGATGACAGTGGCTTCTGGAGCTTCTTCATGATGGTGTTAGAAGGTCCTGCCAGATTCCCTGGAGGAGATGGTTTGTCCTTTCTGTAATGATGGAAATAATATCTCTCCTGCAGGTTTAATAACAAAATGCAGTGCAAAAACTCCAGGCACTAGCCAAGTCATGTGACATGAGACATGGGATCAGCTTATCTCACAGACCCAGACATAGAGCCCCGTGCCAGCCTGACAACGAGTGGACAATCCAGGAGGATTTGAGTATTTCCTGCAGCTGTTCAACAAATACAGAAAGAGGTGGTTTCCTTCGACTTACTATTTATTGTTGTTTTTATGCAACAATTTTCCAGTTGTCATCTGGAGAAACTGAGAAGAAATATGAAATCATCTAGTTTCTCTTTGAGATAGTACTTGGGATCCTGTGAATGCAGGGATTTCCTTATTGTCCTACCTGCAGGGAGGGGCATTCGAGGCTTCTGGATCATAGCCTTGGTCACATTTTAAAACTTGACATCATGTCTAAAATAACTGTATTTAAATTTTTAATTAACTTGAAAATGAAACTACTAGACCATGTAATTTACCTACTAAATTGGGACACTTTTGAGAATAAAAAGGGATGCTGTTAATAAAATGAAAACAACAGGCTTTGGAACTGACCCAAACAAACTGGATGATAGTATTACCCTATTCGTAGGTTTTGCATTCTTGGTTTCAAGTAACTCACATTTTAGGAAACCCAAGAATTTTGGCATGGCTTTTGACCAAATCAAATTTTAGCCGCCATTTTGGAGTACTGCCCATTATCCCACCACAGTCACTAGCTGAATACACAAGCTTCTCTAGGGCTTCTTCACCTTTACAATTTAATGAGTAACTCCAAGTTACTCAGCTTCTTCACCTTTACAATTTAATGAGTAACTCCAAGTCCCTTCCAGCACTGAATAGTCTATAATCAATGGCATGTCTATGTAAGAGTTTTACTTTTTGGAGAAATTTGTATTATTTTGATTCAGATTCAATACAAGATAGAGAATACGAATATCAATGAAAGAACATTGTAAATAAGTTTTGTACACATCATAAAGTCATGCTGGCAGCATGGTGTAGCAACAAACACCTGGACTGGAATCTAGCCGCTTATTTCCTCTCTGAATTTTCCAAGGTTTCCAAACCATCCTGAATGCCTAAGCTGGAATACTTTCAACTGTAAAACAGGCATAAGAATAGCTACTTTTTAGTAATATTATGAAAATTAAGTCATATGTAGTGTATGAAAGTATCTAATATATGCCACAGAAATAGATGTATATGATCAATAAATACTAGTCCCTCTTCCTATTAGGTTAGTGTCAGTATTCAATATGTTATAAATGTACACTGCGTGTTCTCATAATTAAAGTATGAATATTGCCAATGAGTTTCTCTATTCCTAGTATTGGCTTTTACTGTCACAGAGAGCAATTATGTTGGACAGAAGCACATCCATGATTATAGGCATCATCAGAGTCAAACAAACCTGGACCCAAAAGCCCTCTTTCTTCTTTTAGATCTATGGCATTGGGAGGTTACATAGGCTCACAGAGTCTCTCTCCCCTCATCTACAACAATGAATGAGATAATGTGATAGATCACATGGCACAAGTCCTAGTGTATATTCAATAATATGCATTATTGTTACTGCCAAGATAATATGGGAGAAGAGAAATTAAAGTCTCCATTTAACAGGAGGAAGTGAGAGAGATGTTTCCATAAGAAGAGCTTATAGTGCATGTAGACTTCAGAAATGAATATAAATGAAGAATAATGGTTGAGAAAACAAGCCCATGAGCATGTCAGCAGCATTATGCTATTCCCACTAGAATAATAAAGGCCATTATTCCACTGAGAATAATGCCTTTCATGGTCACTGTGGAACCATTATTGACTGGTCATGATGCTATGACTTCTAAGAAGTGTAACAGCTTCAGATTTACTGTAGGGCTGTAGATGTGTTTTACCCATACAGGGCTCCTGACAGTGAAATCAAAGGCTTGGATTGATGAATTCTGCAAACAATGTGTATTAGTCTGTTTTCACACTGCTGATAAAGGCATACCCCAAACTAGGCAATCTCCAAAAGAAAAAGGCTAAATGGACCCACAGTTCCACTTGGCTGGGGAGGCCTTACAATCCACAATCATGGTGAAAGTTGAAAGGAATGTCTCACATGGTGGCAGACAAGAGAAAAGTGAGAGTCAACTGAAAGAGGTTTCCCCTTATAAAACCATCAGATCTCATGAGACTTATTTACTACCAAAAGAACAGTATAGGGGAAATCACTTCCATGATTCAATTATCTCCCATTGGGTCCTTCCCACAACATGAAGGAATTATGGGAAATGTAATTCAAGATGAGATTTGGGTGGGGACACAACCAAACCATATCACAATGTTAAGTTGCTCTTAATCATTTTACTGATGAAGTAAAACAGGTATATTAGTAATACAATAGTTTTGCCTGAGCCTCACTGACTTGTCTTGTAAATGTTGTTTTGGAGAAAGCCACTCCTACAATTTGTTTATATGAAATGTATCATGGAGTATCAGTGATCACATTTAGAGAACTATAACTGTCATATTAATGAGGACTGACAATGTGGATGATGATGATGGTGATGATCCAGCTCATGTGCATCAGAAAAAATTCACAACTTGATTATTTTTATCTACCTTGTTTCAATTAATCCAAACTTTTAGAAAACAGACAAATGCATGACCCAGACAAGGGTCAAATGTGTCTTTGCTTAGTAAAGGTTCGGAATTTTCTCATGCCAAGAGATCCTTTCCTGAGGACTTTTCCAACTGAATTCAAAGTTTGCCATCCAATTCTTCCAGAGCAAAAGGATCTAGATTTTGTAGATGATGATGATGACGTTGATGATGATACCAACTTTAGTCTCTCCTTCATGTATTTGACAGCTCCTTAAAGTTTCTGGCTATAGCCCAGCCTTCCAGCTCCCTGACTCAGATGGGACCTGTCAGAACCAGGTGGGTGTTAAAATCCCAACTTGCCTCCATTCCTCAGGCCCTGGACTTAAATGGGGGCCTTCTGGCCCTGTGGATAGCCTCAACCTAATTTTCACTCCAGGTTTGAATTTTTTCTCTGTTTATGGATCTAGTGATTTCCCATTCTATCTTCTAATCCTGGCTTTAATGTAATTGTATTTGCTGTATTTTATTCAATAATTACAAGTGTTTGGAACGGGACCAAGCATCCTTTCTCAGCAGTTTCGTCTCCAGATTTTTGTATAAATGAAGATTAGATTTCTCCTGATCTTCAAATCTTTCAGAATGCCATGTCTAACTTTTTTTCGTGAACAGAGTTAACAGAGGAAACCAGAGCCGGTATCTAAAACCTCAGAGGCCATCACTGTATAGGCAGAGCCAGGCTCTAAAATCTGAGTCCATCACTCTATAGCAGAGCCAAGGTCTAAAATCTCAGAGGCTCTAAAAATCTCAAAATCCATCACTATATGGCAGAGCCAGGCTCCAAAATCTCAGAGCCCATCACTATATGGCAGAGCTAGGCTCTAAAGATCTCAGAGTCCATCATGTATTGTGATATAGTCCATCACAATATTTTGGGAAAACAAAACAGTCTCCTACCCTAAAATACTTAACATCTTGAATTAAAACCACCAACCCTAAACCCTGGTGGCAGTGAAACTGCAAATTTTTAACTTTGCGAAGGAACTGGGATTATTTGTTTCACTAGGAATAATCACAACAGATCAGGTAGTGTTTGTGGAGGGTTCACTTTTGAGCAGGAGTATGGCAGTCACCACAAGAAGTTCTGTCCACATCAACTCAACCCTTTAGGAACACAGAGTACATGTCAGGATGCAGATGTATGCTTGCCTTGCAGTGTCCAAGTTCCTATCAGTGAGCCACACTGTTCTCAGATCCTCAGGGTCCACAGTCTTTTAGCAAGTTTTTGATTTGGTACCCTGAACTATGGGACTTGGTACCTTCACCATAGCTTCAGTCAAGATGTGATTGGTGCAGAGGCATTCACCGACACTCAGGTGTTGTAGGGTTTTCCTGGATTTGTTTTCCTCTGCAGTTTTGTATGGCCAGTTCTCGGGGGCTCAGTGACACCACCAGGCAGTCAGAGTAGGATTGTGCTCTGGCAGAGACTGATGAGGCTTGGAGGAGGAGAGATGTGCACAGAATCATAATATCCTTTTTTTTTTTTCAGTTTTGGCATTTAAAAAGCATTAGATTACATTGTGAATAAATCCATATTGAAAGGTTATTTAAGTCAGTAAGCACCAGTCTGCCAACCACATAAGATATGATGTCGCCTCTATCAGGCTTCTTAAAGGAAAGCAGGCTGAAGATCGATCCAGGATGCCAGGACTCACGTCCTAAAAGTCAGGCTCTCTCTGTTCTTCTGCCTTTAATACTGAGAGAAAGGAGTAGGGGAAACCAAGATAAGAGCTTCACGCACTTCCACTCTCCCCTTTCATGTTAGCTCTCAGCACTAAAGAGGCAAGTTAGGAAGTAACACAAGTGTCTGTTAATAGACTAAATGGACAAATAGAATGCACTATGTTCACATGGTTGAATATCAGCCTTAATGAGGAAGGCAATTCTGACACATGCTACAACATGGATGAACCTTGAGGACATTATGCTATGATGGAATAAACTCATCACAAATACTGTATGATTCCACTTATATAAAATTTCTAGAATAGGCAAATTCATAGATGTAGAAAGTAGGAGTCGCCAGGGGCTGGGAGGAGAAAGGAATGGGGAAGTGTTGAATGGGTATAAGTTTCCCGCTTGAGCTGATGACAAAGTTCAGGAGATGGATGATGGTAATGGTTGCACAGCACTGTGAATGTACTTAATGCTGCTGAACTTAAAGCACTTAAAGAGACTTATATATATAAAACCACAATTCTTAAAAAGGTGAGTTGAGGGGAGTACCACTTCTGGAAAGATGGAGTGGATTCACTTTTTGCTATTTCTCCTGAACGTGCATGATATGTAAAACAAACAGAAGAGTCTAAAAGGTGGAGAGAAGAAAGCAAAGCCTCCAGGGACCTTGAGACCCAATAAATGACACAGTTGTGAGTTTCTTAGGTTTTCTTTTTGCTTCGGATAACCCAGACTGGGTGCTGCAGAAATTGCCAGCCTGGAAACACACCAATAATTGCAGGCAAAAAAAACAGCGACAAAAAAAAAAAAAAAAAAACGAGTAAAGGAATTGACATTGAAGGTGCTGGTTTCATATTTGATGGGGGACAGGAAGGGGTGGAGCTGCAATAGGGTGACTTAATCTCTAGGCCTAGGGAGTAGCCCCCAGATCGCTGTGGATGCAAACTTGCTGGAGGGATCTCAAAGACACCCATCAACTCCCCTAAACTTTCCCTTTATTCAGATTATATAAAACTTTTGCTTCACTCTATTTAGGTTAAATAGTACATTTGCATACAAAATGTTACCTCATTTCCAATCTTCACAAAAAATTTCAAAGACTGGTTTAATACAGTATGTAGTGAGGGACTCCTTGGTTATTGCAGTTAATTACAGTGCTTGCGGAAACCTAGCCAGCTCAGGTGATTCTATCCCAAGTAAGTATGGTTACTTAGGAGAAGCTATACCTAAAACTGACATTATTCCAGCACTTCTAAACAAACAACCTGAGAATTTCTAAAATTCAAACCTGGTAAAGGTTAGCTAACCTTTAATACTGTGAGAAGAACATTTAACCCCAAAGAAATCTTTAGTTGCAAGTCTCTTTGCAGCTCTGTAAACAGCAGGGTGGAGAGTCAGGTGAAAGCAACACCTGACAAATCACAAACTCTCATTTCTGTTCCTTTGTTTTGTCATCTGTAAAATGGGGATAATAATACAAATTCTTTTAAAGATTAAAAAGCATCATGTCAAATACTCAGAGTTCTCATCACAAACTTGTAAATCTTGGAAAGTAGGGACTGTCTTTGCCTTTAGAACATTCCAGAAAAACCTAGTCTACTGCCTTGTAGACACTGAGGACTTAACCGACCAAAGCATTGTGTTTAGTGCCGAGCACTTAGTACCAGTCTCTGAGCTACGGAAGATCTTATCTTTGGATCCCTGGGGCCGGAAATCTATACCACCTGGTCACAGGTCCTGTTCTCGATGGCTTAGAAATCTGTCCACTCTCTGATCCCAGGCAAGAATATCCCAGTGGCAGAGAAGATGGGCACAGGTCTTCATTAAAGGATCTGAAAAATATATTATTTCTTATACATCCTCCTCGGAGGATCTCAGAACTATCTTGGCTTCTTCAAATCTAATTAAACCATGAAGCCACCCTGTGAATGAGTGGACTTTTAAATCCCTGTCTTGTCAGTTGAAAAACTTGTTTGGTTGAATTATTATGTCAGGCATAGTAATTTAGGTATATAAGAAGTGTAAGCAATATTCGACACTTACTCCATATTTTATCCACTGGGTTCTACTTGGCAGGTACCAAAGATGAAGAATTTAGCACCTTATCATTTATGCCTGCTATTTTTTTTTCAACCTCCCCTAGTTATCTGAGGGACTTTAATTCTCTAAATCTCAAAGTGGTAGGCTTACTTTAGTGTAAGTAAGATGTAAATGTAGTGATCACTTTTTGAGGGGTCTAGATATTTAATTTAAAATGTCTCTAGTTAAGGACAGATAATTTCTTTAATGTATACAGCAGTCTCGATTAGGTAGTGGTTAGTAAAAATGTATTTAAAAGGCCTAAATCGAAAGTTAATGAAATTTGTCGTTTATTTCACCTACTGTAAAAGGATAACCACAGACTTCATTCTTGGGTGTCTTCACTTGCTTTACATGAATTATTTATCTTGTTTCTGGAATTTAATACTTGTCATAAAGCTGCGAATTACGCAATCCATCTTGGGTTTTGTAGTTTGCTGTCTATACGGGTAATAAATCTCAGCTATTAGTTTTATTTATTAAACCTAGCTCAAGAAGTAGAGGTTTGACCCCATCTTACATTATGGTAAAAAAATAGATATAGTTAGTTTGAGATGTTGGATTCAGTGCAGCTAAAAAGAAAACCAATTTAAGTGAAAGGTGAATTAATAAATGCTGTGCCAATTCTGAAAGTCAGGATTATGAAAGGAGATTAATGTTCTGTTCCTGCCAAGGTAGAAATCAGAACATGCTGGACAGCAGGTAAAAAGAAATTAATTAAATAATGGTTTCAAAAGTTGCTCTGAATCAATGAAACAAACTTTGGAAATTTTAGGAAAGGAACCCTCAGGTGTAAAAACCCACCAGTCTCTGCTTAGTTGATCTTTTTGGGTTTTTTTGAGGCACAGTTTCACTCTTGTCTCCTAGGCTGGAGTGCAGTGGCATGATCTCGGCTCACTGCAACCTCCACCTCTTAGGTTCAAGTGATTCTCTTGCCTCAGCCTCCCAAGTAGCTGGGATTAAAGGCATGTACCACCACACCCAGCTAATTTTTTAGAGACAGGAATTTATCATGTTAGCGAGGCTGGTCTGGAACTCCTGAACCTCAGGTGATCTGCCTGCCTCAGCCTCTCAAAGTGCTGGGATTACAGGCATGAGCCACCACATCTGGCTTTAGCTGATCATTTAAAAAAATAATACTGGTTTCTATCCTAAGATCCTCAAGCAAAATGTTCAATAAGCTTAGTCAGTAAGTCCAGTGACAAAATGCTCAGAAAACTGCTAATGAAATCCTTTTTGAGTGGAGTTTCATGTGCTGCCTTCACTTGAAAGTGCATAGTAAAGGCAGATTTAGGCCCTGTGACTATGCATCTGGACTTAGGGAGGATAAAGGAGGGAGAATGATGGGTTATAAATTAAGAACCTGAACTGAAAAATTTCAGGCCACACTTAGCTATTCACATCATTTTTTGCCTTACCTCATACTAAGACTTAGGTTTGTCACCCAATTTCATACAACTGTCTTCATTTTTAAGCTTCCTAAACAGCTAAATAATGAACTTTTAATAGAATACTATTGTAGA